CCCCCCCTCGTCGTCCCCCCCCCCCTGCCCTTTTTGGGAAGTGTCCAGTGCACTCTGCCTCCATCTTGGTGGGGTTTCTGTCCCTGCTTCTTAACACCCAGTACATGTGTACATTAGTTCCCAGGTTTGTCCTCTTTTTTTAGATTTTATTTATTATGTATACAACATTCTGCTTCCATGTATATCTGCACACCAGAAGAGGGCACCAGATCTCATAACGGATGGTTGTGAGCCACCATGTGGTTGCTGGGAATTGAACTCAGGACCTCTGGAAGAACAGCCAGTGCTCTTAACCTCTGAGCCATCTCTCCCTTTGTCCTCTCTCTTAACTTACCTTGTTACTCCAGGTTCAGACTGCCTGCCGTCTCCCCATTTCTGTTCTTTGCTCTGAAGCAACCTATCTTCCATGGGTGTGTGGGCTTCCCCCCCTTTTCCAAGTAAAATGTCCTAGCCCTCCATTTCTGCATGTTGACATCAGATTACTCCAGCTGTTTGTGAACACATACTGAAGGGAAGATCTGCCACCTTGCCCGATGTTAGCAGCCATGAGTGGGATTGTACCACATGTGTCTGTGCAAGGCTACTTTATTAGGTCTGAATCTGCCCCAGTGTACCTCCCCCATCTTTTAAGCTGTTAGGGGATCCTAAAAACCTGTATTCCCAACACAGCGCCTCTGCTGTACTGAAGAGGACTCCAGATACTGGTTCTGCTCCCGCCTGCTCCAGCTGTCCCCCTTTGGAGCCCATGTTTTGTGCCCATCCTCCTGTAGTGACCTTAGTCTAAGTTGCCTCCATTCTTTACCCAGAAAGGAATCCAGTACGGCAGCCCCAACGGGGGCTGGGGGTGGGGCTTCAGGCTCAGGGAACAACTCAGGGGGAGTCAGCCTCTTGGTGCCACTGCCTGTGAATCCCCCCAGTTCTCCAACACCCAGCTTCAGTGAGGCCAAGGCAGCTGGGACCCTGCTCAATGGCTCTCCACAGTTCAGCACCACCCCAGAGATCAAGGTGAGCCCCTCAGATGTGGGCCCTGAGCCCATCCTGGGGCAGGAAATCCAGTGTGTCTACTTTCTAAGGGGAAAAAAAAAACCACAGAAGTTCTCCTGAGTGGGTGATAGGGCTCTAGCATGGTTTTGAGGGGAGAAGGAACAAGTGGCACCTTGTGGAGAGGCTCCTGTGAGGCTGTGGGCGGCATGACGGAGGGAAAGGATGAAGACTAGGCCTTATTGGCTGTGACTGGTGCAGAATGAGTCCTCCAAGAGTGCTGGGGTGCAGGTCTGTGGGTGGGCTTTGGTGATGGAAAGAAGGGCTGTACAGAGTGGGTAGAAGAGCCCGCCCTAAGCTGCTTCATCGGGAAGGCAGTGTGGGGGCTGCAGACCCCACCCACTGATGTTCCCAAGGAGACTGAACGCCCAAGGGATGGCCGACACCCTGCCTGCAATTGTGCCAGCCACCTCTCCCCCTCAAGATGTCATGTTACTGTCCAGTGGGTGTTTTCCCAGTATGTAGGGCCACATGTAGTGTGTGCTTTTGTAGGGCACCGTGTTTTGTAGGGCATTGTTTCCTCTGGAATGTACCCTATACAGAATTACACGGTGGAGAGTTAGTGGACCATGTTCTGATGGTGACCTCAGATTTGCAGCGTCCCTACGGCCACGATGTTTTATCATAATATGGGTAGATCTTGCAGATAGGGAACTGGCAGCAGAAGAGTGGACAGAGGGTGCAG